GGCCTCCCAAAGTGCTGGGATTACAGGCTTGAGCCACCACGCCCGGCCAGAAAAATTTCTTAAGAGAAAAAATAATGTAAACATGAAGAAGCTGAACAAACTAGGACACACACAAAGATGCTTATAACAAACACAACTATAAGCAAAATTTCAAAAATCACAGATAAGAAGAGAATTTTGGGAGCTGCAAGATAAAAAAAAAAAAAATGTGTCATTTGTAAGCATAGTCTCATGAGATAACCAGTGAATTTATCAAAAAAAAAGTTTTACAGGTCAGGAGGAAACTGTGATATTGTTAAAGTTACAATTTTAAAAAGTCACGTGAGAATAATACCATCAGCACAATCGTACTACCAAATAAAAAGAAGTCCTTCCACAATAACCAAATCCTGTGAAAGCATATTGGCCCTGCATATGCCCTACATATCAAAGATGCTGAAAGGAGTTTCTTCCACTGAAAATAACATAATGCAAGAAAACAACACATAATCAGATGAAAATACATAACTTTCTGGGAAAGATATGCACATACACAAAAATGGAATTGCTTACTTATCATTATCATAAGGGTGCAGAAAACACTTTCAGCTATTTAAAACTTAAAAGATAAAGTAGAGAAATTATTACAAACATTGTTAATGAATATATAAAACATAAAAAATATAATTAGCAAAATCAATAACAAAGTTGAAGGCAGATGTAATCATGAAGATTTTTTGCATTCAACTGAAGTTAATTTTTTACCACACTTAAATATATGGTTGGATCTTTTAGAGGTTTTATGTAATCCCCAAGATACTACTAAGAAAATATCTGTAAAGATACACAAAAGAAAAGAAGAAGAAAATTGAAAGCATATCAATACAAAAATTTAAAAAATACACAAAAAGGCAGAAAAAAAATGAGAGACAAAGATATAAGAATCAAATAAAAGAATTAATAAAGTAATATTGGCCAGGTGTGGTGGCTTATGCCTATAATCCCAGCACTTTGGGAAGCCAAGGAAGGCAGATCACTT